CTAACCTCCAAGGGGTGTGCTAACAACTTTAGCATTCTGCATGTTGAACCTCTGAAGTACCTTCTTAATGTATTCAGCTTGGCTCAATCTCAATGTCCCTTCAGCTTCATCCCTACTGATTCGCATCCCTAGAATCTGCTTCGCTGCACCCAGATCCTTCATTGTAAATTCCTTTGCTAGCTGTTTCTTCAAACTGTTTATCTCTTCTAAACACGGTCCTGCTACCAACATGTCATCAACATATAATAACAAAATAATGAAGCTGGACTCGAACCTTTTAAAATAACAGCAATGATCCGAATTGCATCTTCTGTAGCCATTGTTCTGCATGAAGTTATCAAACTTCTTATACCACTGTCTCGGAGCCTGTTTCAAACCATATAAGCTCTTCTTGAGCTTGCACACCATCTCTTCCTTTCCTTCTTCAATGAAGCCAACAGGCTGCTTCATGTAGATTTCTTCATCCAAGTCACCATGAAGAAAGGCAGTCTTCACATCTAACTGCTCAAGGAAGAGGTCTTCTGCAGCTACCAAACTCAACACCACTCTGATGGTTGTGAGTTTCACAACAGGGGAAAATATCTCCGTGTAGTCCACTCCTTCCCGCTGTTGAAACCCTTTCACTACTAATCTGGCCTTGAATCTCTTGCTTCCATCACTCTCCTGCTTGACCCGGTAGACCCATTTATTGTGCAAGGCTTTCTTCTGTGCAGGTAGCTGGGCTAACTCCCATGTCTCATTAGTGAGTAGAGAATCCATCTCCTCCTGCATCGCATGCTCCCACTGCTGAGATTCACTCACTTGCACTGCCTCTTCATAACACTCCGGCTCTCCGCTATCTGTTAAGAGTAGATAATCAAGTGACGAGAGGTATTTGGGATTTGGTTTGGGTACCCTAGATGACCTCCTAGGCTCCACGCCCTGGGTAGTAGCTTCTGCACCTGTAGTCTCCTCCGTTCTACGGTCAGAACTGACATCGTCGCCCCCATCTGGAAGTTCCTCCAAATCCATGTACTCGGATCCACCTGTATCCGTAGTGCTGCTCCCACTGCTTTGGCTATCCTTGGCATTGTCCCACTCCAAACCTCCTCTGGAATCCCAAAATCTAATGGAACTGATGGCCCGTGATTAATAAGGTAAGCTGCTGTATGTACCGCATCCGCCCAAAATGTCTTAGGCAGACTTGCATGTAACCGTATGCTCCTGGCACGCTCTGTCAAGGTCCTGTTCATCCTCTCTCCAATGCTGTTCTGCTGCGGCGTCCCTGGAGTAGTCCTCTCTAACCGAATGCCATTCGTAGCACAGAACCTCTTGAACTCCTCCAGCTCGTATTCTCCATCATTGTCTGATCTCAGACACTTCACCTTCAGATCTGTCTCATTCTCCACCATGACCTTCCACTTCTTGAAGATTCCAAACACCTCTGACTTGTGCTTCATGAAGTAGATCCACACCTTTCTCGAGTGATCGTCGATGAAGGTGACATAATATCTCGAACCGCCAAAAGAAGGCACACTGGCTGGACCCCATACATCTGTATGAATCAACTCTAGTTTCTGAGCCTTAGGTGGCCTTCCACCCTTCTGAAAACTAACCCTCTTCTGCTTCCCAAAGATGTAGTCTTCCCAAACCCCGACTTTCACGGTGTCGATCCCGGTTAGCTTTCCTTGTGAATGCAAAATCTTCATCCCCTTTTCGCTCATGTGCCCTAGCCTGTTGTGCCACAGATCTGTACTCTCTTTGCCAGCTGCAATTGCGAGGGTGTCACTCGCATGTAAGGTGAGGTAGAGAGTTCCTAATTTGTTGCCTCGAGCAACTATCATCGTACCGTTGGAGATCCTCCACGAATCCCCAGTGAATGTCGAAACATAGCCATCTGCTCCAAGCTGTCCCACCGAAACAAGATTCCTCTTCAGTTTCGGCACGTGTCTCACGTTCTTCAAAGTCCACTTAGAGCCCTTCATCTGGATCTGCACTTCACCCTTTCTAACAATATTACAGGGCTCGTTATTCCCCAAATATACTTTTCCAAAGTCCCCTGCTACATAATTATGAAATAGCTTCCTGTTAGCAGTGGCGTGGAAAGAGGCTCCTGAATCGATGACCCAAGAATCCGAATCGCTGTCCATTGCAAGAATCAATGCATCCTGCACGATATGAGCCTCCTGTTCACCCGCATTCTTCTTTGGACTTTTGCAGACTGAAGACATATGGCCCTCCTGGCCGCAGTTCCAATACTTTCCTTTGATAGGCCTAACCTTCGAGTTCGACCTCTTCTTTACTGATTTCGACCGATTCTTGTTCTGGTTTCCTTTCTTCTGGCTTCTGCCTCTCTGCTCAAAACTTAGAGCTGAACCTGAACCTTCTGATTCGGACAATTTTCTTCTAACCTCCTCGGATAGAATCATGCTAACCACCTCACTCAGCTTTAACTTCTCCTTCCCAGCCGAATTGTTGATTGCCGTCACACAACCTGCCCAACTATCCGGTAACTGCGATAGTAACAATAGAGCCTGCACTTCGTCATCAAACGTTATGTCCACGGAGATAAGCTGATCAACAATCATGTTGAACTCGCTGAGATGCATCGTGAAGGACTGTCCTTCTGCCATCTTGAGGTTGAAAAGAGTTTTGACTAGATGCACCTTGTTTGCTGCCGACGGTTGCTCGTACATCTTCGCGAGCGCTTTCATAAGCCCCACCGTCGTCTTCTCCTTCAGAATATTGTGGGCTACTGATTTGGCGAGCGACAACCGGATTTGCCCTAGAGGCTTCCTATCCAGTATCTCCCAATCACCATCTGACTCCTCCTTCTTCTTTTCCTTTTCCTTGACCATCAACGGGCGATACAAGTCCTTCTGGTACAGATAGTCCTCCATCTGCGACTTCCAGTAGGCGAAGTCTGAACCGTCAAACTTCTCGATCTTTGATTTGTTTTCCTCTGCCATGGCTCTCTTTCACACAAATTGCTGAACGAAGTTCTGATACCAGTTGTTGGGGATTCAAAATAATCAAATCAAATCCGTACCCTTCCGGATCTTGTGTTTGAGAGTTGAGCAAGAAAGAAATTCACCACAAATCAAAGATAAAAACTTGTAGGAAAGTAAACAAGAAAGAACACACCAGATTTAACGAGGTTCGGCAATGTGCCTACGTCCTCGGGAGCCACACCACACAATTCTTTGATTACTTGAAGAAGATTACAATGCTTGCAATTGGCCTCTCTCTCTCTAAGATTTCTAATCTCAAAGAGCCCTCAAAAACCTTTTTTTTTCGTGCTTTTTTTTCTCTTAAACCCTAAAGGGACGTGTTTCTATTTATAACAAAACACAATCCCAAACAGATTAGGATTCTAAAACGAGTCTGCCACACCCTGGTATGGCGCAGACCATACCCATGGCAGATAGGGCAAATTCTGCCACACCCTGGTGTGGTGCAGACCACACCCATGACAGACAGGACAGATTCTGCCACACCCTGGTGTGGCGCAGACCACACCCATGGCCTGTCTTGAATTTTCATGTGATTGTTGATTTTGATTCTAGGTTTGGGTCTCCACTTTCAAGACCAACAACCTTGCGGTCTGAATCCGACCCCATTAAATTGTCTACCCGACCAGATAAACAAACGTTTCTACTTAAACCTTATCGGATCCGGATACCTAATAAAATTGTTTCCTAAAACAAGACAATCCGAGTCCTAATAAAAATAGGGATTTGTTAATGATACTTACAAAATATGATTCCACTTACTTCAAGTCCTTGTTGTATTAGGACAGAATCTTATGTATTTATCTGCAAACAAATACCCTGCTAACAAAAGCTAGAGAGCAGAGAAAGAAGAAGAGACGTCGTAATGAGATGATAAAGCAAGAGAGCCACATTGACGAGAAGGCTTTGAAGATCAGGAACTTGCTCGAGAACCGGCACGAAAATGTAAGTTTTTTTCTTTAATCATTGAAATTTTCTTTGAAAATGTGTTAATGTCTTGCTCGAATCATTCTAGTCTGAAAATGGGTTTTTTAAGGGATTGTGGATTGTCTTCGACTTGTTTCTTCTTCTAGATATGATTAAAAAACACATCATGTGATAGCCTCACATGGAATTCAAAGGTTTCACTCTGCAGTGAGGTTATTGCAATTAATAAACCTCCTATTCCTAGTCGAGAATAGGAATATTATTAAGTTAATCAACCTCCTCATCCTAATCACTAGTACAGGAATAGGTACAGGAACATGATTGAATTGTTAAACCTCGTAATCCTAATCTCTATAGGAATAGGATTTAATTAATAAACCTCATATTCCTAATGACTGTAGGAATTGAATTAAGTCAGTAAACCTCCTAATCCTAATCCCTAGTACAGGAGCATGATTTAATTAACGAACCTCTTAATTCTAATCACTATAGGAATATGATCACATTAATAAAACTCCTACTTCTGATCACTGTTAAACAGGAATCGGATTAATCAAATCATATGCAGCTATATATATAACCAATTGAAAATCTGATTATCATTGATCAGAAGGTTTTTCTTTTCCTAGGGTTTATAGGGTTTGTGTCATTCACTCGTACCAGAACTGAGTAAATATTTTCCTCGATCAGGCTTCCGCTACACCGCATTTACTATCAACGGTGTACATGGCTGCTGCTGGTTTCAAACGACAGAAAACCTGCCCCGATATGGCTGAGAAAAATTGTGCAGAGCTTCCAACGGAGCTCCTCGGGCTGATCCTCCAGAAGTTGACCTTGCCGGATCACATTAGATTGAGTTGTGTTTGCAAGTCATGGAACCAAGCCGTTAGGGAGAAAGCATGGCGCCACAAGCCTGATTCCCCGTGGCTCATGCTACCCGGCGAAGACGATATTAGTGCTAAATTCTTGAGCTTCTCTGAAAATCGAACCTACAGCATCCCTCTCCCTCTTCCAGAGATACGAAGACGTGTGCGCATCTGATCTTCTCACGGTTGGCTCATAAGTGTCTATGATATGTGAGAGATGCCTCTTTTGAATCCGGTAAGTGGAGTGCAAATCCAGCTCCCCTCTATCACCACTCTACCCTATGTCTGCGACTACGTAGAGGCTGACCGTCGCTATTTTCTCTACAAGGCAATCCTGTCCTTGCCTCCTCCTGCTGATGGTAGCGGTGACTTCACAGTTATTCTTCTCCACAACCCTTTTAGGCTGCACGATGATGATTACGATGATTTTAGTAACATGGCAATCGCGAAAGTTGGAGATAATAGCTGGACTTCATTGCCACGAGCATCTCATGGCAGTATCGCGGATATCATCCCCCACAAAGGACAACTGTATGGTGTGGATGTAGGAGGGGTACTCCATGTATGGGACCATCATCACCTTACATCTGGTCCCAAATCCACTCTAGAAATACGATTTTATTGCGGCATGACCAAACTGTTGGTAGAGTCCTTGAACAGAAAACTATACATGCTATACAAGGGCTTATATTACGATACATTTATGGCCATTAGACTCGATGCGGATAACCCTGAATTCATCCCTGAGGATGATCTTGGGGACAATGTCTTTTTTCGTTGGTTCAAATACCTCATTTTTCGTCTCTGCAACAAAATTTCCAGAGCTTGGAGGGAACTGCATCTACTTCACAGACGACGACTACTTTGACGTCTTTGACAACCTCGAACACGAGCCACGTGAGATGGGTGTGTTTGATGTGAGGAATGGGAGCATGAAGCCTATACCCAATCTTGGACAGCACTTGCATTGGCCTCCCCCTATATGGATCATTCCTACCTTATTCTAAAAGACTTGTAAATGACTAGCTCGGTTACTCGTTGTCATGTTATATGTATGTGTTTCCTTTCTATATTTTGCACTTTTATTCACTTACATAACCTTCGTCAGTTGCATTAGTAATGCAGGGTCGATCTTACCACGCAGATAACATGAGACACGCAAAATTGCAGAAGTGGTAAGAATCCTTGTTGAGGATCCTGTCGCAGTCGAGGTTGGTGACGACGCCGTGGATGATATTCTGGAGGTGCCCCGCATAGCTCCAACCCCCATCAATGGAAATCTGCCCCTATTATTATACCTCATAACATTCATAGCAATGGCGTCATTTTCCTCTCTAGACAAGATATGAGGATCATCAGCAGCTTCTTGAGTAGCACATAGTGCTACCTCCTTTGACGCAGCATCAATACTATCCTAAATCATATAAGGAAAAGACATATATATTTGATTGGCAAATAATGAAACGAACATCAACAGAATACTTATTATCATATGATTTACTGAAAAAATTTACCACCGACACCATGTTTTCCTTAATCTTGACTTCATATTTATAAGTCGAGCGAAATGTGTCGTAAGCTAACTTTGCCTTCAAATTGACAGGCATTATCAACTTCCCCTACAAATTATAATAAATTTTATCACTAGACAAGCAATACAATCAATTCAAACTGATACACCTTATTTTTCTAAATGAAACAAGCAATACAACCAATTCAAACCCTCAACTGCAATTGTCGCTTAATAAATGTGGTGCTTATCAGACTTTTTTCGTACACCTACAATCTATCTTACCTACTCCTTAAATATTTATGTAATGCTTGTTTTAATCCTTGCTGTGGTTTTAGAATGTTTTACTAAAAAACTAACAGGATGATGAAACATGGAAATGGAGGTTGAATGGTTTTATGTGCATCATCAAATATTTGCAACGAATTGTCAAACAACCAAAACATTTCCTCAGTTGTCTATACGGATTAAAGCATATGAATTTCAATCACCTACCGCGGAATAGTATATTATAAATGTATGATTAATTACAAATGTCGCTGAGCCATTTCAATTTTAGCAATGGAAAGAGAAAAACAAATTGCACAACCAAAATAGATGAGTACCAACTGCTCTTTTTTGTTTAAAAACATAATTAAAAGAAATAATAAATTACAAGTGTCTCACATTTTTTAATTTCTCCTTAAAATATTATCTTGTCATCCTAAGTTTTCCGCAAGATAAGCTAAATCAGTAAGAAACAAATAGATTTTAAATGGAAAAGATTTTAAATATTATATCATGCCTCGACAATAACCATCAATGTTACATTAAATGCTGGGCGCTTCTAGGCGTCGGACTTAGCGCCTAGCGCTTAGTCGTCTAGTCGGACGCCTAAGCGGTTTCTGGACGTTTTTTTCTTTCTTCATTTAAGTAGTGGTCGATGAGGTTTTGCTGAAGGTCGGAGGAGGTAGTAGAGATGTTCATATTTGGAGGTTAATGAAATTTCGAGGACGTGTAGGCTACGACACATAAAATCACAATCAAGGCCTACAGAGTGCAATCTACGTAAGCAGACAATGCTCCCCTAAACGCTCGTAAAATCTAGGTGGGCACAGGGTGCAATCTACGTAAGCAGATAATGCTCCCCTAAACGCTCGTAAAATCTAGGTGGTAGCCTAAATACTGTCTAGGCGGTGGGCGCTAGTTAGGCGGCCTAGGTACCGCCTAGGTTTAGGCGTACGCCTAAGCAGACTAGGCGGAGGTTTTTTAAAACAGTGATAACCATACTCAAGATTGGCAAACGACGTCGATCCCAAGTGGTGGTCAAGCTTGCGCTTGCTATGTCGATTCATCGAGCCCTTCCTAGATTTATTCTACAAAAAAAGAGTTTATTACTAAAGATGAAATGCATCTATAATCTTCGTTCGTAAGCAAAATGAAAATGATGAATACCTGTGCTGACTCGGTATCCCAATAGAAAAGAAGAGCCGTGAAATGATCGAGGTCCACGCTATCATCGACATTTAAAAACCTCTGCTAATCTGCTGTATATTATCATATGTTGAGCTCTTCAGCTCATGCCGCCATTGTTTGAGCACGGACTCAACCTTTATGTTGAAAACATAGTGCCATGCTCCAGGGTAACCCTCAAGACAATAGTATTCCTACAATTTTACATATAGATATGTAAGATATGTATAGGCTTGTTAGAAGACCCCTAAATCAAAATAGACAACTTATGCTATATAGATGCACTGGTTTTGCAAATAACTCCCATAAATTATAACCAAAAAACAATATACAAAGTCATTTTGAAAGTTATTAGGGGTTTAATGTAACTTACTAAATAAATATTAAGATACAAAATTTCTCTGCAGGGCCAGTGGCAGCTGGACTACCAACCCACCCTTGACTAAATCAATAAGAAACAAATTGCAATATGCATTGACTAAACTACGAACTGTCAATGTCACTAAACTACATTAACAACAAACCTTTGCTCCCAGTTCTCTGTTACATGATGTTTATTGTTCAGAGCTTGATGAACCATTCCACTGAGGTAGTTCCCATCTTCAATATAACAAGCCAGATACTTCAAATGAAGAACAAAAGAAGTATTTGCCATTCCACTGAGGCTCTTAATATGCAAGAGCTCCAACACACATGAAAATCCGGAGTACTCGGTGCAACCCTCATACAGATCCTTTTCACTATCCTCTAATAGCTTCATTATTCGATCCAAGTCCTCAGAAACATGAGCATCTTCAAAACCTTCTGGGCCATCAACATCTTCGATCTCAGTTGCATCTTGGACATCATCTGTCGTATCATCTTCACCATCATTGTTTATATCATATTCGGGATGGTCAGGGCCAATATTAGTTTGTAAATTTTCTATATCTTCTGTCCTGAAACCATGACTAGTACCGACATGCACATCCGGTACTTCATCTTCAATACGGCCTTCCCCGTGATAGGACCAATGTTTATATTCCTCGTAAAACCCACAGTTTGTTAAGTGACTTCGTATTTCCTCTTTATTTTTCAGCTTTATATTCTTACACCTACAACAGGGGCAGTACATTGCACCGCTACTTAGATTATTTGGGTTCATTTCGGCATACTTCATAAAGGCTTCACATCCATCCTTATAACGTCGATCGCGAAACCGTTCGATCCTAGGGATATCTATCCATGACTTATCAGGAATTTTCCTCATCTGAAGATAATCTATAATTAGAAACTCTATTTGAAAATAGATAGTATACTAATAAATTTTAAACTATCAAAACGATATACATACATACACACATCATCCTTAAACATGATGTATACGTACTTGTTTGCAACTTTTTTGCTAGGGTTAATTTCACATAATCATCCTGGACTTTGGGTGCTGCATATCATGTACCCCTACCTCACCCTAACCCAACTCCCCAACTATGTAGGTGTCTCACAATACCACAAGCTTTAGTTTAACCATAAATTTGGAGTGTGCTAAATTGCATTTGTGGAATTATGGATGGATATTTGAATTTAATGATTACATATTGGAATTCTTACCAACGTCTTTTTGGGTGAAATTTTACGATAAGCATCACATTTAACTGTAGCAGGAGCACTTACATACGATGTAGCATTTAAGTTGGGCTAATTGAGGTAGGTTTGAAACTTATTAAGGTAT